GACCCCTCATCAAGTGTCTTCCAGGACTCCAATGTTGTAGGAAAGTCTTGACTGGTTCCCAACGCTGCAATCACCAACAGACCGCACGCACCCGGTTTGATTTGATGCACGTCTGAGACAAAGAGTTTGTTGGGGGAGTTTTAATGAGCCGAAAAGGGGGAGTATAAACGGGGGAGAGCAGGTGTGCGCTGGAATAATAATCCTGAAATCCAAAGTTCGGCACCTGTCGCTTTGGCTGTTCTGCAGCTTCCACTCTTCTTTGCTTAGAATAGGGAAAGTTAGACTAGCTAGGTACTACCATATGGGTTGGAGGGAACCATGATGAGGATTGTATGCAGAGAGGGGAGGGCAGGATGCAGGAATCCGAGCCAGACAATCGAGGGTGCAAGCAGGGCAACATCGAAACCAAGGAGAGTTTGGTAAGGTAGGCAGGAGGGCAAGAAGGATCAAGGGGGGAAGACTAGCAGAAGAGATCAAGGTACGGTCATCCCAGCACCGGGAAAGCTTTTTAGCTGGAATACGGGAGCCTCGTAAGCACATCGTAGCTGCCTGGCAGAGCGCTATGCTCCACCTTGCAGAGTTGAAAGAGCGAACCACCTCACAGAGTAGGGCTTGGACCACTTCTTGCTTGTGAGCCAAAAGCTGGGAGAGCAGTTAGTTGGAGAACAGCAGTATGGTAGCTTCGGCAGCAAAAAGAGGCCATCAGCAGAAACAACTAAAGGGGGTGAAGTGTCCGCGTTGTGCGTGTAGTGCATTGAGCCTGGTACTTTGTCTTTTTTGCTGCTAGCTATTGAATAACCCAGCCAGCGCCTACTAACGTAGTACTACAAGCACCTGGACTGTCTCGCTCCAATGCAATGCAAGCATCGCTCAGCCATTGCAAAGGGACTGGCGTTGATGGCTGGCCAAGGCAGATTTGGAAGCTGTCCAAAGATTGTTGGATGAAAAAGCTCTGGCTGATCCAGAATGACGCCACCTTGGCAACTGCCGCTAGCCTATCACTCTAGCAGCTAGCTAGCAACCCCAGTTTACAGCAGAAGACCCAAAACATCAGCTTTGGCTTCGTCCAACCTACCGGTACCGGTAGAAGCTCTGGTGATGCTTGAGGTCTGCCCGGGAAAGTACTTAGTAGCTGGCTAGATAGTCTATGGTATTGTAGATGATAGGTAGCGTAGCTAGCTAGCTGGATAGTTGTAGGTAAGTCAGTGTGTGTGTGTGTGTGTGTAAGAATAAAAAGTCTAAGAAGGTTTAAAGATAGATAATGTACTCATGCTGGAGGTCAGAAGGAGGATAGATGGATGTATGTATTCAAGCAAGCAAGCAAGCAAGCAAGCTAGTATGTCTTGTATCTTTGGAGATGAGTCTTTTGTCCAAAGTGTGACGATGATGGTCTTTGGTTGTACTTGTTGTACATGTTCTTGAGACCCTTGGTCATATCGTTGACACTTTCATCATCATCGTCATCATCACTGTCACTACTGTCGTCATCCAATGCTCGTCGTCGTTGAAAGGGAAGTTTGCCACTGGCAAAGGAAATATCTTCCATGGACAGAGTGGTGCGAAAGGCAGCCGATTTCTTTGTGCGACGAGGCATGTTACCAGTGGAGTGTCTGGCACTGTCATCATCGTCTTGTTGTGGTTGCTGTTGTGGTTGCTCATCTTCCTCCTCATCATCTTCATTGAAGATATCCAAGTCAAGTTCTCCCCAAGAGCTATTGTCCAAAGTGGAGTAAGTGCGAGACGATCGGTCCTTCATGCAGTTGTCTTCCAAGACTTCGTCCAGGCTAATTTCTCCCCAAGAGGAGTTGTCGCCTTCGGAATGAGAAGAGCCAGTGCTGCTGCGGCGTTCCATTTTGCTCATGTCAAACATGGCTGATGTACTGATAGTTGCTGCTGTGGATGTCATGGTGGTATTGATCAGTTGTGGTTACTTGTGTTTACTTGATCGTAGTTGAAAGAATTGTGAGACAGACTGGTATCAAGCACTCCTCCAATTTCCAAAAGATAGATAGTCTAGTCTAGATATCCAGCCCGGTACCGTACGGTACCAATCACAGACCAGACTGCCCACAACGATTGATCCAAGAAGGGCCGACATACTTACCGGTAACCACAAAGGGAATAGGACTGGCCAGGACCATTTACGCGACAGTGGCCAAAGTGTATGCATGAAAGAACTGATACCAGGCTACCAGTACACTCCAGTACCTACCTTACTTACGTGGGCCATTCCAGCAGCTACACAAGAACCTCACTGGTAAAGATTTGATGGCCACGAGGCGTGATACACCAGAGCACTAAATAAAGATAGTCATTCGAAGTTTTCTTGATTTAGTAAATGCATTGGACATAGCTGGCAAGAATCCTTCCAAACTGCTACTATAGCTAATAGTAGAAAAGCTTGAATCGAAATGGTATTAGCGACGCACCGGGACTTTGTTGCGCTGCATGCGGGTCCCATTGGCAATTGGTGGGCTGCAATTGGCAACTAAAATCGGGACTACAACAGCTCCGCTACATGTAACAAGATGCTACATAAACGATACAGCTGAACGCGAGATTTAGCAGACAACCAAGGAGCATCATCGACCAACAAAGAAAGATTCTCTTCTCACCACTTGCTCTTTGAGAACAACATCGACCGACAAGAACAGCTGCGAAAAAGTCGTATTCAGAGAGATAAGTACTGCTCATGTACGCAAGTTTGTTGACCTCACGTCAATCGATTTATTTTTTAATAGAATTATGAGTTGAAGTCCGGCATTCGAATTCCGATTAGTGGCACGGGTAACGACAACTAATACTTAATCTACTGTAATTTGCAAGAAAGATCTTATTTCCTGACATCCACTGCATATTTGTCTTACGGTTGGATCATTATTTCCTGTTTGAAGTCGCCTTCCTATTGAATTGTCTGCAACGTTGCAGTTCCAATTTGAGGGCAACATGCAACTAAAGGATCCAATGCTGACACGGCAAATACGGGAAGCATAGAGTTCTTTAGATTTATAATCACTGTTTTCAAGGATCTTGACGATTTACTGGATTCTTGCGAAACATACACGTCACTACTGGTCTTACGTAACGTTTACGTGGTAAGATCATTGGACACTCAAGAAATAAGACCCTCATTATTCTCATTGACACGTGTAGCACACCGCGCAAAACCCAAAAGCTCGTTTTTGGAAACCATTCGAAAAGGGCACAGTAAGCCAGTGAAGCAACCACCTACTTTTCCAAAGTTTGCTGAGCTAGCTAGCTAGCTAGCTAGCTAGGAACCTGTTGGCTGTGGGCTTGGCGACTGGCAACTGTCCCTGCATCTACCCAGCTAATAATAGTAACCTATAATTCTGGCAAGCTTACGGTGGCTCATTATTTCTTCTTTCTCATGTTGTAGACGTTCAGTGAAGCCTTCAGAGGCTGGACTCACAGGACTCAGCCATCAAGCAATTACTGGAGCACTTACTTGTTGTACCATTGTGTCTTGGAGGCAGCGATGGGGCTGACGGGGTTGCAGCACCACTTCTTCTTTTGAGCCTTCAAGCTGGATCTGGTACATCTCCCTGAGTCGAGTCCCTGCTTGCAAAGCTACAGGTTCGTAGTGTACTAGTATCGTATCTTTCAAGGAAGCTCCTGGATTTCTTGTCAAGACAAGAGGAGTTCCGGCTGGGTGGATGTTAATAAAAAGAACCAACGGGATTGTTTTCTCCGTTACAAAGCTGCCAAGCGAAAAATAAATGATGGTGAGAAGCTTCCTGCTGCAGCTTGCTAGCTTGGTGGTGACTTGCTCGTGGATTGTTTTGTTGGACACTGGTGGATTGTCCCGGTCAACTGGTCGATGGCTGCTCGGGCAGCGTCTCGCATTCGAATGATTCGACTGCATGTACATGACTATAGGGGGATGGGCAAATCTTGCAAAAGCCCTGTATTGTAATGGAGTGTGACTGGCCAAAATCAGTTAAAAAGACGAAATTTGTATTTTTGCCAGAAGATAAATTTAATTGGATTGCATTGGATTGGATTGCATTGAATTGGATTGAATTGGATTCCAAATAGTACTGTTATTTATATAGTAAACTTTAATTCAATGCAATCCAATCTAATCCAATGCAATCCAATCAAATCCAATAGAGAAAAACAGCCAAAGTAAAAGATTGGCTTAGCACACACAATTTTTACAAAAACGCTCTAACAAATTCAACACAGAGCCATGGGCAAGTTTGCTCATCCCCTAGTAGACTTCACACTACCTAGTCTACAGTCAGTTCTCTCTTATATTAATTATTCTTACATTTTAAAATTTCCCTCTTAAATTTATGCTTCCTGTGGATTCCCCCTGAGTCACTAGTGGCTAGTGACTGATTGAATGACCAGAAGCCACGAGTGCAGAGACTGATGAAGCTGACTCTGAAATATTTGGAGGCAGAGGAGTATCTTAGAAAGCTCAGCGGAGCTTGGACATGTCTGTTGTTGCCAAAGTCCAGCTGGATCCATTTGCCAAGGCCATGTTCGCGGCCCCAAGAGAGATAAAACTCTCCACGACTTCTTTACTAGGAATTTCTTCCACCAGCTGTGGCGCTGCCCGGGGCTTTCACGCAAATGGACGAGTTCGTTCAGATAGCTACGCTACCGTACCCCCCTGAAAAACCTCAATATACTGCTGGCAGCAAAAGCAACGACAGATTATAGCCAGACACATAAAGCTAGGTAGGCAAGCTTTGCTTGCATGCAATGATATTCTGGGACACATACAGAGCTATTGTCTACCCATGTCTACACTATGGCCGGAGCCACGAGCTACTAGGAGCTAGGAGCGAAAACACGAGCAATGCACTTGTGTAGCTCTAGTAACCATCTGTAGGTGACCTTTATCATTGCTCTGGTGTGTTGGAAGAGGAATGAAGAATGAGGAGGAGGCTGCAGAGATGCGGTGCATTCCTCTAGAAGCACATTTGCTCCTACTTTATGCTCTCGGACCATTACGGGGCGGGGCGAAACCAAGCAGCTTTCGAAGCATGCAACAATCGCCATCACCAACGCTAGCTAGCTAGTCTAGGTACACCATGCACAACCAATTTTGCTTATCCCGAATGGTCTACATGTGCTAAAATAGCCTTACATTTCATAGTAATACTGCTAGCTAGAGCCAATCTAATCATGTCTTCTGATAATATTGATACTGGTACGGGTACTGTAGCTAGTACATGTGCTGATGCTGGTGCTGCTGCCAATAGCAACAGTGCACCCAACAATAAAAAACTGATGCACTACGCTAAAAGCTAGTGTAAAGATCTTTCGAGTGTTTTGAGTTTGAGAGAATGAAAGTTATGAGAGAGATTAGAAAGCTATGAAAACTAATCAACGAGAGAGATCACCATCAAGGGATCGTAGATCTGGTCTCCCGCGGGAGACTATAAAGTGTGATAGAGTAGGTTGCGGTAGTAATCCTACATATCTCCACGATCCTAAAACGGAACGCGTGGAAGATTCGTCTAGCATGGATCTAGTAGCGTGGAAGTACTCCACGCTGGCTAAATATCTAGAGCGATGTTTCATCATCAACCTAGTATGACTAGAGCGGTCATTGAGAACCCTGTCTCAAATGACTATTCACGAGAGACTCAGTCATGAGTCGAACTCAAACCCTATCTTGGATCGAGTCGCGAATAAGGCTAAGAGCCGTGTATTGCATTCGCCCCCTGACAAGGGTCTAAGAAGTCGCGACAGCAGTCGGACAAGGAGAACATATGATTTAAAGTGCGGGGCACTCTCATGAGATTGAATGTAGATATGTGCGTCGCACGATGGCAATCCTACAAGGGGATCAGGCCTTGTATGGGTGTATATACCTTATGTTCCAAGTCTGGTAGACTGTGCCGCCATTGGCGGTAGCATGTCGGAGCCGTACAGTGCCATTGTCATTGGCTCGGTCTATAGTGTAAGGACCTTTGTACTTTGGCTGACCGTACTTGCGGTGCTGATACTGTTGAATCATCACGGTATCGTTGACATTGTATTGATGAGGGACACGCGTCGCGTTTTTCCTATCGTTGCTCTGTTGGATTAGTCGTTGGCGACGTTCCTTGATGTACTTCCAGTTGGCTTCGAAACGGACGTTGTGAATCGCGTCACGATTGAACACGAGCTGCGCAGGCGTTGCACGCAAGGTGGTATGAATCGTGGCATTCATTGCAAAGCGAACCGCCGTGAGGACTCCATCCCAGGATCCATTCACGAGGTCGTCTTGGCACTTGATGTTTTGAACAGCGATCAAGTTACGTATGGTTTGATGAGCACGCTCGACCATAGAGTTGGCTTGAGGGTTACGCGTAGTGATGAACTTGCGACGAAGTCCATATTCATCCCGGAGAGTCTTTTCGACCTCTGCGCGGAACTCACGTCCTCTATCCATGATAA